AGAGAGAGAGAGAGAGAGAGAGAGAGAGAGAGAGAGAGAGAGAGAGAGAAATGAAGTGGCTGCCATGCGCGTAGCCATAGAGGTGCGCTGAAAAGCTGCACCCTACCGGTAGGGGCATATGGGAATTTGTTTTTGCTGGTACCCAACAACAATCCGGTAGTGGCATACTGCAAATTTGGAACGGGTGCCGGTAGGGGCAGCACATAAATATTTCAGGCCCAACCGACACAAGGGTTTTATGGGAAATTTAACCGTGGTCAGGGGGGCGCGCCAGGGTAAGTCGGCCGTGGGAGGGGCGCGGCGCAAAATAATGCAAATTACAGGGGCGCCAGACAAATTATCCCTTGTTTTTTTGAAATGCAACATTTGGCATTCTTTTGGGACCTTGCGAATTTGGGATTTTCTCGGATTTTGGAAGTCGTATAAAGGCGAAATCACACTAGGACTTTCCCGGCTGCTTTCTGGACTTGATTGCCGTCCGATACATGGAGTAAGTAGTTGACGAATCCCTCCTTTCTGGCCTTGGATCCTTCAATGTCAATGTGTAAACCAAACCGACCTACCAGTTGGTACACCCATGAACGAACTGTTGAAATACAGACCTGAGTTCGAACTCCAGTGGAAGCAGACAAGTTACAAAAAAAAAAAAAAAAAAAAGAAAACGAGTAAAGTACTGCAACCCTGAATGACTTCACACCAATTGGTGGGGGCAACTCTGCAAATCTGTGTGCCTGATTTTTGTTTTTTGGGGGTAAAAATTTGGACCATTTCTCGATTTATGCGTGTCATTCTTGCGCAGAGGTCATGCTAATAATCTTCTCTTTCTCTGTATCGTTCCAATTTTTGGGGGATGTACAGAAGGACATCGTGTGCCTGCCTGCTTGTCTTCCTGCTTGTGCACAATGCTAAGGGGAAAAGACACAAAAAAAAAAAAAAAAAAACTTAGACAAAACTGGGGTCTGCTTGTCAGCGCGATCCGCGCCGACAACACTTAATCAAGCAGCCATACGACTCGCAACGAAATGGGGGAAAACAAAAACGCCACGTCATCACACTCACTTGGCGATCCATGTGTGCATAATCTGGTGTGCTGTCCCGACATCTCGATGTCTCTTTCGTGCCAGAGAGATCGGCCTATGGTAGCGATTGGCCTCGCTGTTTCATTTCATTTCAATTCAATTCAATTCAATTCATTTCATTTCATTTCAATTCAATTCAATTCAATTCAATTCATTTCATTTCGTCTTCTTCCAGTAGGTTGGGAGGACAGTCGGCGGGGGGCCGCAAGGCATGGTTGTGCGGAAAGACCCCCCCCCCCCCTTAAGGGTGGTCGGAGCGCAGCCGATCGAAACACGCGGCGGGGAATACAGGCGCGTAAGCTGAGACTACGTAGTATGCGCGGCTGTGTATTGAAGAAAACCTTTCGAAGCGTGTACCCAAGGCAGTTGGCCCCTGTTTTCACTATCTATCCTTCGTCTTCTCGTTTGCCCCTCCTCTCCTCTTTCTCCCCATCGTAGCTGTATTGATATAGTTAGCGGCCTCCATTCTCGAACGCTACCCATGATTGTCATTTCTCCTCGAAAGTTAGGTGGATGCGGGAGTGTGGTCGGCCCCTTGATGAATGCTGGAGCTGGAGCGCAGCCAGCCGAAACGCGTCGGGGAATGTGCTTGACGAGTTCTTTGGATTTTTTTTTGGCTCGTGATGGTGCAGTAACGACTTTCGTACGTGCACGAGCGCATAGCGTTGGCCTCGCTATCTCCTTCTTCTTCTTGGTCCCCCATTCTCAGATCGTCGTCGGTAAGGCTGGTGGTACGGAAAGCTGATCTTGGGAGAAGCTCCCCATGAGGAGTGAGTGCCAGGAGCGCAGCCTGGGCCCGAAAAAACGCGTCGGGGGGGAATTTGCGATGAAGTTTCTACTGAGAACAGTGCATGCGGAGATGTCATGTTTACCTATCTGTTGAAGCATGTGCGAGAAGCAGTCTATGTAGAAACGCTGTTTTCACTATTCTTCATCGATCAGTCCTCCTCGTCGTTCTCCTGTTCCTTGTTGTTCTTCTTCACGCCGTGAGATATCGATTCCTGCTGCTGCTCGTCGGTTATGCTTCTTCTTCTCCTTCTTCTTAATTGATTCAGTCCAGTTCATTTTCCTCTTCACACTCTCATTGCCCTTGCAAGGCTGCCGGGCAGCAGAATTGATCTCAGTGCTGTTTGTCAAACAGTTCTCCTTTTTTTTCCTTGTATCTTTTTACCTCCTCCTCCTCCTTCTCCATCTCCTTCTTCTCCCTCTCCTTCTTCGTCTCCTCTGCCTCCTCCTCCTTCTTCCCCTCCTCTGCCGCCTCCTCCTTCTTCTTCTCCTCCTCTGCCTCCTCCTCCTCCTTCTTCTCCTCCTCCTCCTCCTTAACCTCCGTCCTCCTCTTCGTCTTTTCCTCTTCCTTCTCCTCCTCTTCCTCGTCCTCCTCCTTATTCTTCTCCTTCATCGTCTTCGTCTTTTTCTCTTCCTTCCTCCTCCTACACCTCCTTCTCCTCCTCAACTTCTTCCTCTTCTTTGGGATGCGCAATCTTTTCCAAGTTCGTTTTTTGTAACCTCTTTTTTTCCAATTTTCTTCCCTTCCATTTCGCTTTTGTTCCACTCACTTTTCTTTTTCCCCTCCTCCCCTCGTCACCTCTCCCTCCTCCCCCTCCTCCCCCCCTCCTCCTCCTTCCTGCGTTCTTCCCTGGGAAAGAATTTACTTGAATGGAACTACACAACGGTAATACACAAGAATAAGGGTGGGATCCCACTTCCCTGGATTATTCGTTTTTCACCCTCGATTACGAAGATCAACGGTCAGAAATGAAGAATAGGGGCTAGTGGGATCTGGCCCGAATACTCACGGGAAAGGAAAAGAAAAGAAAGAACAACACGGTCGGGGGCAAACGGACCCGAGGCCCGTGTCTTTTTGACCCCCCAAAAAAATACAAAGAACTGAGGCTCGTTTTTTCCGCCGTCTTTCTTACCATGCCCCCGATGCCGCTGTAGAACTCCAACACGCGCAAAACCGCCTTCGAGTCCTGGGGCGTTTCCATCTTCACAAGCGAGGAGGTCACAAGATACTGCAGCCACGTGGCAGACGATGCACTAATCACTAGCAGGAGAGTGCCCAAGTGGATAGGGGAAACGCAGCGCGGTCGTCTCATCAACGAATATCATCAGAAATCATAAATCATAAAGAACACCCATTATTTTCCGTTTCTAGGAGCATGGTAGGCTTGTGCTCCACAGTCCTGGAGCCTCGTCCCACTAGCATCGATTTACGCTACGGCTCCATGGTTTCAACCACGTGCGGCGAGAGGTGACATCCGGCTACCGTTGATCCTTTTGTGTATCGTGACATCCGGCTACCGTTGATCCTTTTGTGTATCGTCGGCGCAGGGCGATAAGGACCGATTTCGTTACGGTATCTGTCCGCCGGCCAATAGAAGAGTTTCCTTTGCATTTTTTTGCCCATTTAGCTAGCCACTTTGCGTTGGCGCGAAGCTGCAATATGAGGGAGGTCCGAAGGGGGGGGGGCGTTTTTGCATCGATGTTGTTTTCTTTTTTTTTATGTGGTAAAATAGAGAATATTGAGATTTCCGTGGAAGACTGCGAACAGGCCGGCGGGAAGGTCGCATGCACATGTACCGGGTTGGTGGAAGTGTGGATGCATTGAAGTTCTGTCATGATGTCGATGTCAGGCCCCGTAATTTTTCGTTTTTTGGGTCCTTTTCTTTGCATTCGCGGCCCCAACCCTATACCCTAACCATTAGGGGCAAGGGGCAACATGAAATCTCCCCTTCACAGAGAGAGGAAAACTATGCTTGCAGGGGTCCCCTCTAGATAGTCTTAGGTAG